CGGAAACAAAATAAGTCAGAGTCAGTGAACAACTTAGGTTAAAATAAAAAATCTTGAACCTGAAAAATTACACAAAGGTAATATCATATATCTGTCATCCCTGGCTAATAAACTTCTTGTTTCTTTTTTTTTTTTTTTGGTGTGTGCGCGTGTGGAGCATCTCAGGTTAATAAACTTCAAGAGTGCTAGGGGGAGGGGACGACGAAGGCATGAATCAAAATGAGTTGGGATGCACAGAAGCGCGGGGCAACAACCATATACTTACCATAGCAAATTAAACATGAATTCTATGCATTACATAGAGTTCGATGAATAAATTATAACTTAAAATAAATCATAATTTTAGACACGCCTACTACTCCTTCTTATTTTTAAAATAAGACTTAGATAAACAACTAATTTGTACAGATTAAGATAATTAGTTAAATTTATTATTTGTAAAAATGTGTGTTAATTTTCTTAAACATATTCTCTTTAATTATTTGTATTAAAACTACCTTTTAATGAAAATATTTTAATGTGTACAATCTGGATGAATAGTTATATACATATAGAGAGAGAGAGAGAGCAGGATAAGGTGCTTAAATATCCTGGAAGTATACATAAACCTGTAAGTTTTTTTTTCTTTTATATACCTTGAAAGTTTATCTTCTTAGCAAAAATATCATGATTGTTATCTGCCGTTAAATTTGACTAATACTTTTAATAATCAAACTTAACAGCGAATAATAATTCAAGGCAAAATGCAATGAAATAAAAATTCTAAGGCATACAAGAGCCAAAAAAAAAATATTTCAGGTGCTAGTGTTTCTTCATATTTACTTTCTAAATATTTAAGCACTTTATCCGTGTGTGTGTAAAATACAAAGTGAATTGAAATGTAATATTTAACACCAAATATAACTTGTAATCTCGCTCCTATACATATACTACTATTTGGGGGAAGCATTGAAGTGAGTTAGGCCAGTTATAATGTTGTGTGGGAGTTGTACGTGAGGCAGTGACTTTGTTTGGTGGGTTTCCAAGGGAAAAAGAGCCTTAAAGTAGTGGGAGGCATGAGGGCGGCAATTTGGTAATGGTGGGTGTCATCAATTTATAATTAATTGCAGTGTAATGTGTACTCAAAAGTAATCTCTCTTAGTTACCCTTTTATTTGGCTAATTTGTCTCAATTCATCTGCTTGTCAATCTCATTGGATGGGTGGTTTAGGGGTAAATTAAAAAGTAGAGAGAGAGAAAGTAAAAGGGAGCATGTGAGATGGAGTAGAGTGGGAGAATTGAATTGAATTGGATGGTTTGGTTGGTAGTACTTACGTGAGAAAAAAAGAGTGTCTTTTTCCCCTTTTGCAAAAAGAAAAAGGCCATTTATGCTCACATGAAACCTTGCCGGTGCTACTGCACTCCAACCCAATTTGAATCAAAAGCTATTTTGAATTACTAACAAGGGTTGTGTCTAGTAAAAGAGGTTAGTCCCTCACAACATAGCGAACCAAGGTTTAAATTCCCGTTGAAAGAGGTGCCTACATTTAATGCTTGACAGTGTCTCGAATATGATTACTTCTAATAAGAGGATACTTATACTTTAACAAAAAAAAAAAGCTATTTTGAATTCCCTGAAGAAAAATAAAAGCAAAGCATTATTGTGAAACACAAGTACACCCCCCTCATCACTTATTACACATGCCTTCTCTTTTTTCTTTTCTTTTTCCCCATTCTGCTGCACTATGTATCTTCCTAGTTTTTCTCTCTATATCATATTAAAGATTGTTTGCTAAGGTAATAACACATAAAATGTGGGGCCACTGAACCCATATTATCATTATATCTTAAGGGAAACACTCTCACAATGATAGACAGCAATCATGGATCTCTTGACAAACTGAAACCCTATTAATATATACATAGTGGCATTGGCATCAGTATCTGAGGTGACTTCCAATCCATTTCGAAAACGATTCTATTCTTCTTATTTTGTTTCTTTAATTCTCTTACAAGTTAAGTGGGTTGGGCAATTGGCATTCCCAGACGATTTCATTAGTTGCAGCGTAAACAGAATTAGGCAGTCACATTAAGTAATAGTTCCCCCACACACTCATTAATTAAATTGAAAAGAAACACATCACAAATGAAAGGCATATCCCTTATTGTGCGTGTGTGTGTGAGACCACTTCCATTATGTCAATCTGGAGGACCAGGCCATATGGAGCTAAAATAAAGAAGCAGATCTCTGATTTACGTTTGAAACAGTGAGGCACAAGAAAGAAATGAATATTATAGATAATAAGGAAGTAATGCCAATTTAAAGGTCAAGGATAGGAATACGGCAAAGATTTACAGAAATTAAACAGACTAACAATTTTTGCTGAAATTAAAGTCTGGGGTAAGCTATAAGGACGATGCATGGGTGATGATATATATATATATATATATATGTTGTATATTATTTTAGGTTAATTAATTAATGTTTGACCTGCTTAATTTAACAGAGACATCACTGTGCCTCTTAAATATAGGAGCCCCTATATATATATATATATATATATATATATATATAAATGAAAGGGAGATTCTTAATTATTTGGAGGGGCATGAATTTCGGTGAATTCTTATTAAATTGTAATATGAACATATACAGTGATTGGTGAACAGCTACATATGATTCCTTAAACATGGCTGAATTTTGTGGCATTGAGCTGTCGAGGATTTAGTATCAACGAAAGCATCGGAGCTGTATATTTAAATTCATATAGTAGTCAACTTGGGATTTATTAGAGAAGTGAATAATTTGATGAATTGAATCAGGATTTACATATTACTACCTCCGGTCCTTAATATAAGACTCCATTTGATTTTTATTTTGATCCTAAATATAAGACCCCAATCCACTTTGTCTATCATATTATACTCCTCCGGTCTTAATATAGGACCCAATTCTTGAGTTGTTTTGGTCCTAAATATAAGACCCATTTCTCATATTTATCAATTTTCTCTAAATTACCCCTATAGATACTCTCTCAACTATAATCAAGTAGAAGATGAAAATGAGGTATTAATAAAGATAATTATGGTGTTTTAGGAAAAATGTGTCATTTTTCTTATAATTAACTAATTCACCTAACTTTCTTAATCTAATCAAATTAGTTAAATAGGTCTTATATTAAGAACCGGAGGAGTATATTTTTTTCCAAAGTAGCCTTTCTAACAATAATAGTTTTAATCAATACACTTGATTAGCAAGGATATTTTCAGAAAGACAACACCTATTTAGGACACATAACTAACTCAATTTACTTCCTTAATCTTCTCAAATTAGTCAACTGGCTCTTATAATTAGGACCGGAGGTAGTAGCTTGTTTTTGAGGAAAAAAGTTTCTTAAATTTTATTTTCTTTTGAAAAAAACTAAGTTGATGGGAATGGGGATTAAGTAGATGAACTTGGATGTTAATTAACAATAATAGAGCATGATAGTAAATCAAGGATTTGAATGTATACTTTGCTTGGGACATTGGAGAGTAGAAAAGAGAAAGAGGGAAGTGTTTCAAGCAATGGTGCTGTGCAACAACCAAACCATTATGCCATCTTCACACTTTATCACCTCCCCTTTCCTTTTCATATATCCATATATAACCTTCTAATCCATCAATCTAATTTTAATATAAAATTTAGTTTGTAATGTAAATAAATTGCATTACAAATTAGATCTTATATTTAAAAATGAAATAAAATATTTGCTCCACCAATGTATGTTGATGCTTTGGCACAAAACAATTTGTTCAGCAGTGTTGCTGTCTCAAAGTGGGTCTTGAGAGCCTTACGTTGCTTTAGGTTATTGTTCAAGGAATTAGGACGTTAGCTTTAAGCTTTAAGATGGTAAGTTAAAGAATTAAATTTATCATTATGTAGTTTCTTGTAATGTTAGTTATAGTTAGTGATTATTGTAGTACATTTAAGCAGTACTGTTTAATAAGTTCAGAATGTTGGTTTTGATAGTACACAGTACAATTGGTGTGCTGGATATATGTACAACAGCTAAAATGTAGGTTCAGGTTGTATATAAAAATACAGAAAAATTGTTTTTTAGGGGGAAAAAAAGAGACTTTTTAGATCCGTTGTTCTGGAAAAACCAGTATGGATATAAGCAACTGTTTGTGTTGATATTTTGGTATGTGACGTAGATAAGCATTTTTACTGCCACTACAAAACGTATGAAGCACATGTAGGAAGGATGGGCATGGGAAGGAGAGGTAGGGAACAAGAATATATAATCCAATCAGAGATCGTTCGATCCTAAATATAAGACCCCTTTCATAGTATAAATTATACTAATTTATACTATAAAAGAAGTCTTATATTTAGAACCAGAAGAGTATACGCCTCCCCCACCCGTCTTTTATTTGCTTTCATGTATTCCTCTCTTTTTTAATCTACCCTCCATAATTTATTTATTTTTTTATAACTCAGAGTATCCTCAAATCACTTTAAATTATACTCCCTCCGTTCCTTATTATAAGAGACGAATAACCGAATTACGTTGATCAAAAAAACAGTTGAAATTAGTTAAGAACAATCAATGTGTAAAAAGTATAATTTTTTTCCAAAATGCCCTCATTAATAAAGAGAGAGAGCATGAGAGAGAATAATGGTAAATTATTCAAAGAAAGAGAAGTGGGAAGGAGAGAGAATGTGAGTTGGAAACAATAAATATGGGTAAAATAGGAAATCAACACACAAAAATAGAGACAACTTTTAAGTGTCTCTTATATATAGGAACATGGCATAAGTATCAAATGTCTCTTATAATAAGGAACGGAGGGAGTACTAATTTATGGTTTATGAATCAGTCTTATAATTGGAGCCTTCTACGAATCATCACCTCTGACAAAAGGTTTAATAAATGCATGAATTATAATGAATTTTTTTTAAAGAAAATTATAGTTGCATTCAATTCCAATCCCAACAAAAGATGAGACATAACCAAACAAAAAAAGATCCCACGATTGAAAGTACCATACTTGTAAGTAATGTGAGTAAAAATTAATTAACCAAATATCTACATCAGCCAGATGAGAAGGAGGGGGGGAGCAGGAGCAGGTGTGTATCAATAAAAGAATTTTCAAGTTCTATTTTTTTTTTTGTTTAACATTTTTCTAAATCTGTTCTTTGAACAGATAAAAGCAAAAATTAGAAAGGAAAAAAGAAAAGAGAAGTCTGTGTTAAGTGAAATTAACATGAACACTGGCGTTCATGCTGGAATGGCATACTGGACAGTTCCGAACTGTGGACCCACACGCTGTACACAGACACAGATGCCTACATGGCAGCAACAGCACTATCGATTCTCTCACCCCACACTTCTTACACATCCTTCCCCCCGCCGCCGCGTTCGTCCACCGTCGTTCTTCTTCGTCCTCATCGTTGCTCCCGCAACTTGACTCGGCATCGTCTGCCTGAGCCTCGCAGGTGCCGGCGACGTGGCGCTCCTCGGCGACGTGGGCAAGAACTTGTTCCAGATTGCTGCGTAGGGAATTTGCTGTGGCTTCGTTGGTCTGAGCCAGTTCTCTCCAGATTTGATTCTCCACACACAGGCTTTTCACTCTTTCTTCAAGCATCCAATTCACTTTCCCCATCCGCTGGATCTCGTCGTCTTTCTCCTTCAGCTTCTTCGTCATTGCCTCTTGGATTCCCGATATTAGCGCCGTCGATTGCCTCACCCTCTGCTTTTGTAACTCCATCCTCACTTTCTCCGTCTGGTTCAGATCAATACAGAGATGAATCAGTCAATCACGAAATCCCAATTCAAACAGGTGATAACAAAAAGGCAAGATGAAGAGGGTGGTTTTTACATGTTGCGAGATGAAGTGGTCGATCTCGGATTGCTGGTTCTGGAGTTGGCAGAGAATGTCTTGGGCGAGAAACGAAGAAGATTGAGAGGACAATTTGTTAATCTTGTGAGGGATCAGAAGAGCATTGGATTCGGCGGCAATAAACTGATCCCTTGGACGCTTCCTGATCGGTGCGGCGGCGGCGGCGGGGACGTGGCATGTGAGGCCACTGTCAGCCTTGTTGATGGAAGTTTTGGCGGAGGCTAAATCACAGAGAGTTGATGATTGATTATAAAACGGCAAGAAAGGATCAGCCATGGCAGAAGACAGAGGAAGCGGAAGAGGAAGAGCCGAATCCATCTGGCCATTGCATACATCACTGCAACAAGAACCAATAACTCATAAATATCACCAAATATTGAGAACAATCAAGAAACTCAGAATGGAAAAACCCAGAAGAGATTACAGTGTATATATAGACACTGAAGTGTTTGTGTATGTGTGTATCGATATATATATACACACACCTGTTTGGGAGGAACGGAGGAGGGAAGAGACTCATGTGGCGAGCTTCCACTGCCATGAAAAGGTTTGATTGGTGTTAGCTTGCCTGTAATGAGTAGATTGTTCTTGGCGTGAAGAAGAGGAAGAGGAAGAGGAAGAAGGCAGCAGAGCATGCAATAGAGGTGGCGAGGAGCCGAGGAGTAGGGGAGGCTTGAATGAATGAGTCGGGTTTATTTAGGCTTTGGTTTTGTGCGGAATTCAATTGAGAAAGAGAGAGAAAGTCAAACGCATCTTTCTAGACAGAGAAGGAACAGGTAATATAATTTAATAAATTAAAAAAAGGAAAATTTAAATTGCAACAGAAAATAAAAGGAAAAGGTAAATCATGTCATGGGGCCATAGGGGGTGGCAGATTTTGGGGGGTGTGTATGAGATTGGCTTTTGACCTTTTCTCTCGTTTTGGGAATTTGGGATTCCCATGTTTTTTTTTTTTACCTCCCTCTCTTTAATAATTAATAATTAATTTCCCCCGTCATCAACATCATCTTTCTCTTTCCAACCAAGAAAATCACCACCCTCTTAATTTTACCTCCAGCCCCCCCACTTTGTTTTCTTTCTCTTTGCCTTTTTCATGTTCCCTTGGCCTCACGCAATTGTCCCTCTCTTTCTTACAAGGACATTTTCGGCATTTCAGGTCCCCCCCACTACCCAACCCATACTCTACCATAATATGCATCTTTTCAGATGTAATACATATCATTTTCTTATTTTAATTGTAAAATTACGTGATTGTGAAGGATTGTATAATTTTGTTTGTGTACCCTTCTTGTGTACTTGAGCTATCCAATGCTGCTGAGGCGGCCGCAGTGCTCCCTCATCGGACGACACGTGGCCTCTTCCACGGAGCTGCTGAAAATGTGGCAATGCCAGATACTGCAAAGTGGCACAGGTGGGCCCTCAAAATGGGCCCACGCATGCTCGTGCAGGGGGCGTGAGGTTTGGCAGACACGTCGGAAGGGAGTGGGGGGCCCGCGAGGGATGGGAGTGGTGGGACCCAGATTTGTTGGGGAGCGGTTTCCCTGTTCCGCTACCTTTGTCTCCTTCCTTAACTGTTGGGTCTGTGTACGGACAAATAAGGAGGCGTGGAAGAGAGGGAGGGAGGGAGAGTTATCCGGTGCGTGGCAGATCCAGCGCATGTGGGTGCGCTGCATCCGAGTCAACAATGGAGTTATTATTCAATTAATTAAATCCGGAGCACAGTTTCGCAGATTAATTTAATCCTCAAAACAATAAAAGTATGCAATTTCTCCCCATTTTCCATGGTTCAGTCAATGTTTCATATTCTGTGGACAACTAGACAACACCCCATCAATAATTCTCTTTTTTTATTATACATATAAACATAAATGAAATTTAGTTAATTAATGTATCAAGAATATAATATCAGTAAATCATAATTTTTTTAAAAAAAATCATACCCTTTGGTAATTAATAAAATCTTAATAATATTCAAGGAAATGGATACAATTCTTGAGCAATGTTTTGGCTAATAGATTTCTCATTTCTAGGCAATTGTTCAATGAAGATAGTCATAGTAATTAAAATTAAATTTAAAACTGGATCATTACTTATAAAAAAAATATTAATTTTATCATGATCCTTATGTTAGTTCAATTTTCATATTGACTAATACAGCCATATATTTTGACATTAATTAACGATAATGCACATATCTTATGGTAATAAATTGAATATTGCGGTCAAGGAAGAAACCATTAAAACGAAATAATTTCATTTAAAATCATATTTGAAAATAGTGCCAGGCAGATACATGGATAATTATATTATATATAGCTGCCCCGGCTTGCCACTAAACTTTGTGTCTGGATACTATCCATGAATATGATAATTGATTTGTCGATCAAAGTTGTCAGACATTAAGGGAGTGTTTGGATAAAAACCAAACCATGGTTTCAGAAGTGCTTTTGCGGATTACGAAGTAAATATGTGAAGGAGGTTACCTCGTTTTGCGGAAAACTGCTTCTGAAACCACGGTTTTGGAGTATCCAAACAGAGGCTAAATGGGGAATCTAAGAGATATAATTTTCCAAAAGAAGAATAAATGCCATCTTATCACATGCACATATATACAACAATATTATTTCAATATATCTATATATGTATCTCACATATTTTTTTTAGAAAACTCAAATTAAATAAATGGTGAATGATTTCTGTTTAATATATATACAAGATCTGTGACAAACTTGTCACATGTAATTATATATATATGTCTATGCATGTTCGATTGATATTCCCACACTATACCTAAAGTTCTCATCATAACACATGCAACCACTAATTACAATTAACCAATGATCATAATTAAAGTAATTATTTTATTTATGTGTGTGTGTGTTCTTCTCTCTACATATGCTCACAACTTTAATGATTCGTCGTGCTTAATTAAAAAGTTAGGTCATTATTATAAAAAAAAACAAAACGATAACTTAATTGGCTGGTCGATTAGTACGTGCGTCCATTTATGGAGATATTCTTAGTTTAAATTACTTTTCCTGGTTGCAGACAGGCTTTGATATAATTATGATTAAAATAACATCAAAAATTGTTAAAGTGCAATTGATTATATAAGATGCTCATGTTTGGCTTTTACCTGAAAATGTGCAAGGCATAAACCATGTCGTGCAGAATCACTTGGGTGATAAATAAAACGAAAGGAAGTATAGAATAATTTCACTTTTCAAAGCCCTAAAAATTTATCTATATATGTATATATAAACGAAAAGTAAAAAAGCACATCTTCCTGCTTAGTGCCATATATAGTGTTGCATTATATACTTGCCACTTTACTATATACCTTCCCCGTCTTCTCCATTATTTTTCTCTGTGATTGGAGCTTTTTAGGTTAACTTTCGAGAGCTTCAAGCTTTAAGAAACTTGACTTCAAAACCATTCCCTGCCAAACTCTTATATATATATATATAAATGGCATGCAAGCAAACCATTATTTAATCTAATAGTAAACGAAAAGATTTAGGGGATATCTCATAATATTTATACATATATATATATATATATATATCATGCAAAGTTGTTCATATATAGTAACTCTCCTTAATATTATTCCATAGCTCGATTGAAAATATTTATGTACCTCTTACACATATATTTTGATGATATGGTCCACAATAAGAAAACACACACACACACACACACATTTTAGGGGGCAAAAAGAGGATTATTAACCGTAACTTGGTTAAATTTGCTCGTTATTCTGATTTAGTGAGCACGATTAATTTTGATTTTGGAATTAACAAGGGGGATTTGTTTAACTTAACAAAGACCCTATCAAGAGACCTAATTTTGCGTATTAATTTAATTCTTATTGGCAAGTACTTGAAAATTCGAGGCCTTTTTTCCCAAAAAGTTGGTATATATTATATCATATCTAGAGTTAGTGAAAGACCCAAATTTATTTCCTATCACAAATCAAACGAACTGGTGTACGTATATGATTCAAAGGGAAAGAATTTTGAAATTTTGGTGTATATATCAATTGCTTGGAATTTCAAAGGCCTAATATTCCAATACGTGCATTATTATTATTATTATTATTTTTGCCAACCACGTGCACTAACTTAAGATTTGTGAAATATCAAATATAGACATGAAAAATGCTATATAGTTCATTAACTTCACGTCATTGACTGCACAGTGTTAATTTAGTCAATATTTTGGTTGATCAAAGAAAATAAACGAGAAAAGAAAACATGGTCATATTTGTTTGCGGAGTTTCAGGCGAGAAAATCTGATCCTTCAGGGTTGAGGGGGTTTATTTTCCCTTTGATTCCGTTTCCACCCCATTCAAGCAAGCAAATCCTAATTTTCAAAGATGCCATCTTTAATAATTTAATTTCACTATATATATAGCACTATAATTTCAACTTCTTATGTTATGCTTTGTGATCTTCATGTTTGTCCCATGACCTTAATTATGCATTCAGAAGTCAGAGAACTAACCAGTATGAATCAAACTTCCTATTTTATTCACAAGTCAAAGTATTATAATTTCATTTGGAAAAATATGAATAATTGTACAAATTAAACGAATTTGGCATTTAAGTTAAAATTAAGGTTTTGTATATACGTATTGTTGAGTAACGATAAAGTAATTCCTTAATTAACACACAATTCAAAGGAGGATTTCCCCGTGGAATTAAAAAATGATAATCAATAATCTTGACAGACTAAAGAGATTACATAATTAATCTTAATTCTAATATTCACCGATATATCCTTTTCGCGGATTCATTCAATTGCATATTTGTAACATGATCGTATTTTTCATCCATGTGAGAAAAATACACCACCCAATTTAAAATTTAGGGTTTTCTAAGTACAATTAATATATTTATAGCTTGAAAAGTGGGGAAAACACATATATTGTTAATAAGCCTTTCAAATTAAGTATGGTTTATAAAAGCGTTACTTTAAGGAGCTCTCCTACACAATAGGCCAGTATTCTAGGATGAACTCTGTTTTAAAGTTTGTGCTTATAAAATATATTGTCACACACAGACATTTCCTTAATTAGCTTGGATTGTCACTTCCAATGGGCATATATTTGTGAGAGAATAATACCTCCCTTATACACATGGCATTAACTTGACATCAAAAATTTCAACTACTAAAGTAGGTGATCGATTTCCTTTAGTAAGGTGCCTCTTCATCTTTAGCCAGCTTGAATATAAAGGTAGCGTACCTGCCCCACTATATATGTGACTCATCCCAAAGCTAATAAGCTACATATATTCAATATGATTTGATTTATTAGCTTTTTTCAAATTTCTTTCAAGTGTTAAATATTCCCTGAGAAGCACGCACAAGCACAAGGTATGCCCATTTAGATGAAAAGAAAAGGAGCGGCCACCCGAAAAAGATATGCATAAAGAACATTAATTGATGTACACAGATTGATTCCCATATATATATATATATATATATATATATATATGTTCACCTCTCCGTCATTATTGTTCTTTTCTTTTCTTCCTTTTCCCACTACTCCATTTTCTAATTAATATGCTTCAATTAAATAAATACATGTTCTAAAACAAGATAAACTTTAACCTTTTTCTGCCTCTATTATTGCTTGCTGCCATCATATCATAGATACCTTCAAAACCAGCTATACTTAACCT